TCTTAGTCTCGTTATTCGTATTGCTGTTGCTTTTGCTCTTGCTCTTGCTTTTGCTATTGCTACTTCCAGTATGATGACTACTACGATAAAGAAGCTCGCTGTCACCAAAGTTCTGATATCAGAGTGATGATTCTTGATGACTATTATCTTTATTTGTTAGGTCGCACTTTGTTCTTAAAGGGCTGCACACCGAGCTCGAATGGCATGTTTCACGTTGCTTTCCTGGCGAATCGCGCATTCTGGGGGGGGGGGGGGGCTGGATATTCTCAGGCATAGTTTGGAAGATGCCCTCTAAGACATCCAGGGAACCGCCGAAGGAAGCCGAGGTAGAGTTCGTTGTCGATTGTGGCCCATGCAAGCAGAGACGCTGGCATGCTTCTGTGGTTTCGCCCAGTGCTGGGGTTCTGGGTTTAGGTTTAGGCTTAAGGTGTTCTGAACGAATCGTCTGGTCTCGACTCTGCTGCCTTGCGGAAGCCTACTCTTCGACACCTGTACCAGGAGAATCCTGGAACCCTTGCAGCTACACACTGTACGGGTCGGAATAGATGCTCATAGTATCCCCTGATGGTCCCTGTATAAGTATACGATAAGACCCCCCTGAAATCCGATTCTAATTATTCAGGCCCCTTGATTAGGGAGTTCAGGGTTTAAGGTTTAGGGTTTAGGGTTTAGGGTGGAGGGTCCCAGGATCGAAGACTAAGGACCCGTCTTCAGGCCCATGTTTTCACAGCCCAAAAGGCCGAAAAAATCTCAGAAGCCCCGGACAATTAGGACCCTGGTACCCGGAAACCCTAAACCGTAAACCCTAAACCCTAAACCCCAAACCCCAAACCCCAAACCCCAAACCCCAAACCCCAAACCCCAAACCCTAAACCCTAAACCCTAAACCCTGTACCCTTTTGCGAGTTTTAGGTGCCGCCGGCGATACGACGGCCACAGCGATGCAGTGCTTTGCCTGGCGTCGGCGGGCACGGGCGCCTCCAGCTTGAGCTGGGTTTCGGGTTTAGGGTTTAGGGTTTAGGGTTTCGGGTTTAGGGTTTTGGGTTGTTTAGGGTTTAGGGTTTAGGGCTCTGGGGTTTAGGGCTGAGGGTTCTGGGGTTCTTGGGTTCTGGGGTTTAGGCTTTAGGGCTCAGGGTGTAAAATTTTTGCTTTGTTTGAGGATGTGGGTTTTGGGTTTCTCGAAGATAGTGTTCCGTGTTCTTGTTTGTCATCCTGAGAATCTACTACATTTTTGTTTCAGTGTTAACAGGGTTCCATGTACTCTAGAGATGCCTGGCAGGGTTTAAGGGCTAAGGACTTTGGGCTTTGTAGGGCCGTGAGGGGTGAGGTTTATGCAGTTGTCTGGTTTGGGCAGGGGAAGGGGGAGGTTTGTTTGCTGAATGATCATGGTTTGCTTACCTCTTGGTTTCAATTGGCACGTTTTGAGGTGTGGTTTAGGTTGGTATGTTCCCCCTTCTACAAACAGTCCTTAATAGGGATTCTAGCACCCCCTATTATAATCCCTAGTAAGGACTCTTAGTATAAGGGGGAACATCCCAGGTTTTGGTTAGGCCGAATCTCGGGGGTGGTCAAGGTGGGGTCTGCTACTTCTTCCCTAAACCGAGGCACAAGCGCGCTGAACCCCAAACCCCAAGATCTGAAGCCTGCTCCTTGAACCCGAACCCTAAAAGCATAAATCCCTAAACCCCAAACCCTAAAACCTAGGCCCTAATTGTAAACGCTTGCGCGCACCGCCTCGGCAGCCGGGCCGGCCCCAGGACAGGAAAGGAGGAAAGAGGGTTTCGCAAAAAGGGGCAGAGGGGTGGGGGGGGGGTGGGGGGGGGGGGTGGGGGGGGGGGGTTGGGGGGGGGGGGTGGGGGGGGGGGTGGGGGGGGGGGGGTGGGGGGGGTTTTTGAGGAATTTCCCTGTAGGAGCCACCGAGAGGCAGGACCCTCCACAGCGTCGGTTTGCAGCTCCTCCAAGCGATTGGGGGGGGTCCCACACGGGGGGGGGGGGGGTGGGTGGCTTAAATAGGGTTTATTTGGAAGCTGGCACTCGGGTTTTCTTCTTGCCAAACACGTCTGTACTGATGTCACGTCAGTCGTACTATGGTGGCCTCAGGGATAAGAACCAGATAAGACGAACATGTAAGATCCTCTGCTCTCTTCTCTGTATCTTTCAGTAATGTCAATCCCTTTCTGCCTCATGAAGCATCTTTCTTTGTAGTTCTTCCGTTTATTCCTTTAACCTTCTCTTCATCTTCCAACTTTACGTTCTTTATTTAACTTTTGTTTCAAACCCCTCTAAATCTCTCTATATCTCTATCGCCTCTGCTCTCTCTCTCACTCTCTCTCACTCTGTCTCACTCTCTCTCACTATCTCTCACTCTCTCTCACTCTCTCTCATTCTCTCTCACTCTCTCTCTCTCTCGGGGCTGGAGGAACCCCGGAGAGCCCGCGCGCCCACGCCAAGTCTCTCTCTCTCTCTCTCTCTCTCTCTCTCTCTCGCTCTCTCTCTCTCTGTCTCTCTCTGTCTCTCTCTGTCTCTCTCTCTCTCTCTCTCTCTCTCTCTCCATCTCTCTTTCTCTCTTCCCGTCTCTATCTCTGTCTCTTTTTCTTTATCGCCAGGTTTCTGGAAAAACAAAGAAAACAACGCCAGAAGCGTTTCCATCAGCAAGTCTCACGAACTTCTTGCCTTGCACCATTATCCGAAATAAATGCCACTTGTCGCAAGAACTGCCAAAGGTAGTGTCTTACTCCCAATTAATAATGTCCGGACCATTACCTGCAAACTGCACGTTCAGGACTTTGGTCAAGTTTGACACACGACAAAGACATCCCCTTTAGACTCCTAGCGCAGGAGAACTCCGCACCTGTCGAACTATAGTGCTTCATTTCTGGCCGGGTGGAGTAGTTGCTCCGCTGCGCAGGCTATGCTAGGGAAGCAAGCCACGCGGACGACGTCCCTGTCTGGAACAAAGACCACAGCATGACGCCACGCCAATACGGTGCCTGTGCCTCGGAAGCCAAGCATGCTTTCTGTCCCCTTTGCAAACGTGTGATGAGAGCAAACCCTGGCAAGCGGCAGTGGAAATCACAACTGCGCTAAAAGGGCGAATTGCGCAAGTTCTCTTTCCGACCACATACACATACGCTCACACCTAGGCAAGTATGGGAAGGCTAAGCCCTCATCCTCTTTAGAGTCCTGGCACAGGAGAACTCCACAGCTTTCGAACTTTAGTGCTTCATTTCTGGCCGGGTGAAGTAATTGCTTCGCTCCGCAGGCTATGTCAAGTCCACATGTTCGTGACTGCGCGACTCCTCAAAGCACACTGACCACAGCACACTGCTACCTGACACTTGGCAGAGATGCCATCAATGCCTCTAGCCACGCCATGACGCTGCCTGTGTCCCGGAAGCAAGACAAATGAGGCCACGCGGACGACGTCCCTGTCTGGAACAAAGACCATAACACGACGCCACGCCATTACGGTGCCTGTGCCCTGGAAGCAAAGCATGCTTTCTGTCCCGCTTGCAAACGCATGATGACAGGAGACCCTGGCAAGCAGAAGTGGAAACCACAACTGCGCTAGAAGAACGAATTCGGATCACATAGAAATGCTCACACGTAAGCAAGTATGGGAAGGCCAAGCCGTCATCCCCTTTAGACTTTATAGACTCCTAGCACTCCGCAGCTTTTGAACTATAGTGCGTCATTTCTGGCCAGGTGGAGTAATTGCTCCGCTGCGCAGGCTATGTTTAGTCCACGCGTTCGTGAGTCCGCGACTCCGCAACATGTTCATGTCTTGGTAGGAGGAAACGCTACTCCTGCCCATGTATGCCCGTCTTATGTCTGCATGGGTAGGAGTAGAGTTTCCACGTACCGAGACGTACATGAACATGTTGCGAAGTCGCGAAGTCGCGAAGTCGCGAACATTTGGACGTAGCATGGCCTGCGCAGCGGAGCAATTAATCCACCCGACCATAAATGAAGCACAATAATTCGAAAGGCGTGGAGTCCTCCTGCGCTAGCAGTCTAAAGGGGATGGAGGCTTGGCCTTGCCAGACTTGCTTATGTGTGAGCTTATGTCTTTGTCACGAGTCAAACTTGACCCAAGGTCTTCCATGTGGCCATATCGGGAGTCAAACTGCGCTAGCTGATCCAGCTTAAGCTGTAATAACTCCGCAACCACCTGACACGGCTGGCCAAAAGGTGTTGCTGATACTTCAGAAAGAAAAGCACACATTGGGCCCCGTACCTTTAGCAAGCCACTGAGACAACATCGATTTGTTGCAGCTGGGGTTAATTTGTTCTTCCTGCAGCCGAGATGCAGGACGCCAGCCACCGACAGCCTGTCCGGATCAGAGACAAGCGTGACTCGGCCACGTGTGGACGTACGTGGGCGCAGGCGGCACAGACAACTTTTCTGCCAGCGTGACACGTCTGACCACGGCGAGTTTCCCGCGCCACTTTTTCCAGGACGGTCTCGCGAGCAGCAGCAGCAAGTCTGAAATTGTCGGGCAGTCATCGGCTGGATAGAGTACGGGGCGTTGTCAATGAAAAGACGAAACTCTAAATCTTCTTGAACTTCCTTCCCGGCCGGATTACTGGGCTGCTATTCCGCAGCCGGAAAGGGGTTCGCCTTGTGGGAAGGCTTTTGGGTAAAGGAGGCGCTGCCGCTTTCCTTCGCTTGGCAGCAGGCCTGGATCCAGACGTATTCTCCTTTTCCCGGATAGCTCGACGCACCGCCTGTCCCTCTTTCAGGACCTGCAGTGGAGCTCTAGCCGGCGCAGCTCCGACAACAGTTAGGTCCTTACACCACGCTGTCCATGCACGACGAGGCAGCATCACCTTGACGTTAGCCTTGACGGCTCGTCTAATCACTTCCGACTGGCCCGCCTGCCTTTGCATAGGTCTGTACATGGCCTGATTGTGAGAGAATAGTTTCACGAACTGAAAGAAATCAAGCTTCATGATCAACGTTGCCTTGTGCAGCGCGGCCTGAGATTGACGCGCAAGTCTCACACGCAGACACCGATTGACCAAGTTGCACGTGGCCACTGCAGCCAAGTCTCGGTTTCGCGGAACCAGTGATTCAGTTCATGATGGAGGCTCTCGTTGGAAGTGGTGCCACTTGGCAACAGAACCAAGGACTCCCGGTCGACTGAGTGGCGATATCGTGTGTCATTCAAGAGCCACTGGACTTTTGCCGGCGACGCAACATTGATGATGAGACGATGCAGTGTGACTCCGGAAAATGTAACCTTCTGCACCTCGTCGTAGAAGATTGAAAGAAGAGCAAGCAGTGCTTGGAGGAAATCCACCTCAGTCAGCCACGGCTGATCTGGGTCCACGCCTTTGAGATGGTCGTACGCCTCCTGGGCAGACATGTCCGGATTCTCTAAGCGCTCCCGCATGGATCTGACGTCGGCACGCGATGGCGGCAGCGAGTCCCCTGTGTAGAGTCTTCCCCAAGAAGCCGCTGAGCGCACTGGGTCTCTTTTCCGAAACTTGTCCATGAGGACAGCGAGCCAGCGGGAGCCCTGTGTCTTCTTATTGTTCATGTTTTGTTGATATACCATGACGATATGCATGGCATCCAGGGCAATGCTGGCAAGGCGCGGCAGAACTCCTTGCAGAACGCGGAACATTTCCGCAGACGGAGAATCGGAAGCTACATGGAGTACTTGCGACCGCTGCTGTAGGGGAAGTGTTTTTGCTAGAGTCTCCGCCAACACCACGGCTTTCTCTGAGCGCACGACCCGGATGAGCACAGCAGCGCCTGTCCGGCCGCGACAGGTCAGTGTCCGGTACCCTGCCTCGGCTTCCGGAATAGGAGCATTGTCCCGGGAAGACTGGGACGAGTGGAAGTCCGCCTGACCGATGACCTTCAAGTTAATCTTGAAAGTTGCGTCGACGCTCAGGTACCGAAACTCGTTATGCTCTCTGCACTCATCCAGGAGACCGTCGCGGAACTGTTGAACAGGCGGCGCCTGCATGAGATCTTCCAGAACATTTGTCCAAAATCCGTTTGTGGCGCGAGGCAGCAAGGACGAAAGCTGACCTCGATGTCGCGTGCAGGCGCCCACCATTACAGAGTAAATTCGCTGCAGAGAGGCATTCCCTGTAGCTGCGGCCTGTAGGAAAGCGCACGCAAAGGCATAGGTGTAGTAGAGATTTCCAACACGTCGCAAGTCGTTTCTCTTCTTCACGGAATGCAGAGCCATGATTATAGGACCGTCGGCATCGAAGACGTACCTGACTGTCTTGTCGATGGAGACAATGGTCGTAGGCACAGGAGGTTTCACATCAGCTCGCATGATTGCTGCAGAGCGGGAAAGAAAGCCTGTCTGGATAGTCGTGCCTGCGACCGCATCATGGTCGTAAAGGGCAGCAGCAATGCGAAGCTGTTTTGTACCAGATGGACAATAGCGCTTGGCTGCAGTGTGCTGCGAAACCAGATGCTGCCGCAAATGAGCTCTTTTGTTGAAGCGTCTCCACGGACAGCAAGGGCAAACGGCGACAGTGAAAGTGCTGTTCCCTTGGGACTCCACAAGCCCCAGGGCTTCTTCCACTTCCTGCCGCATCAGCGTCTTCAGTTCGTCGCCGACAGCTACCTCTCCCTCGTTCTGGGGAGCCTCTGCTGGCTCTGCACTCACGCTTGCCGATGGCCGCTTCCGACTGGCTCTGCTTAGCGGCGCAGACGGAGTCGAGGACGACCCTGCAAGGAGATCTAGTAGGCCCACATCCGCATCGTCTAGCTCCGGATCTTTGTCGACTACCTCGAAAAGCATAGTCTCTGTGCTCCCCACGAAAGCTTCGGTCACCTGTATAAGGGCACGCCACGTTGTCTGAAAGCTTTTGCCTTGGCAGCAAACTGTAATGGCATTGTCCGCAAACACCTGGATGCCCATACAATGGGATTCATCTGGGAGCTCTATGTGCAGAATGCAATTTTTCTGCCGGAGCTCTCCCAGTTTGCCAGCAGGAAGCAAGTACTTGGTGTCGACGCCATGCCAATCCGAATACTGCCGAACCTTGCGTCTGTCCGCAGCCGTGTTAGCTGGCGACTCCGCTTGCAAGACGGAGACCACACGGCGCAGATCAAAGCCCACAAACACCAAGGCCGCGGGGATGGAGTTGGGAATTGCTTTCAAGAGATCTGTGAATTCTCCGAAGCAAGCGATGTCGGAGATGTTCTGGAACGCTTTTTTCAAAGCATCCTGAAAAGACGAAACCGTCTTGTCTTTCAGCTTGATCTGAAAGGGAGTGCCGCGCGACACCTGTTCCTGGAGGTACTTGAGGATGTCTTCTTCGACCTTCTCCTCAACTGCTCGCATGAGGGATTGTGATAGGAGAACACCGTCGAAGTGGCAGGAGATGTGGCCTGGCAAATAATGTCTTTGCACACCGTGGAGTATGTGCTGAAGAACGTAGTCCTCCGCTGCTGTCCACCAGTACGCGAAGACTGTGGATTCTGGCCAGTTGGACTTTTGGTTCCTTTGCTCCTTGTACAAGGCTGGCAGCTGAGAGCATGCCAGCCATCGCAGTTCCCGACTTTCATCTGAAAGTTGCTGGAGGAAAGTCGCGGCACCCCCTTGCAGCCGCGACGCCTGACTCACAGCTGCTCCATTCGCAATCTCCAGCAAGAGTTGCTTGCCCTCTGCTTCGGAGCAGCTCAATCTTTCCACGCAGACTTTCTGGCGGTCAGCAGCCACGGCACGCCATGCAGAAATATCCATATCCGGCACACTGAGTGCTTCCACAAGTTGCACAACCACGGTGAACATGCTTGCATGCACGTCGACGTCCCTGCCGTGGGGACAGCAGATGGCGCGTGCAAGGCGCGAGCATGTCTGGGCTCCTCTTTGTTTCGCGATCCTACGCGATCTCACCTGTCTAGGATAGAAGTACTGCCTTTGCACAGTCACCAACCCGTCTGCATCTACTTCTCCTGATTCCGCCAAGCTCTTGATTTCCTCGAATAGCTCGCCTTCCTGTTCCGCTCTGCGCGCCAAGTCCTCACCAAGCTTCCCGTCGCTTCCGTTTTCCGTCAGCTTTCTCTTGGGAGCTCCCCTCTTCCTGCCGCCTTGCCTTTGCTTGTAACTCTTGGCCAGCGTATGGAGGTTCAGCATCCGAGAGGACTCGGGACCCATGCGTTTGCGCATGCGACCGACGTTGTACTCCTCTGGAAAGATCAACCTGTCATCTGGATCCAAAGTGATGACGTCCCCCAGGGCTTTCTTCGCCGGAATACGAGGCAGATAAATGGTGGTAAGTCCAGCCTTCGGCAAGACAGTGGACTCGGAGAGGAGATGCCCATCCTCAGCGAGTTTTTCGAGGACGGTGTCTGCATCCTTCCGACTGAAACTGAAAGAAGCGCTTGCTTTGGCAGATCGCACTTGGGCCGCAGTGAAGAAGTCCTTGTGTTCCTGCACCAGCCACTCCTTGATGTCCTTCACGTATTGATTGTGCTCGCGTAAACGCGCCTCCTTCGCACGTTGCACCTCGTCCACGGGTACCGGTGGCTCTGGAGCGGCCAAAACATCCTCCACGTGATCTGCCGCATCTTTTTCCTCCACGGCTAGACCACAGCTCGTGCGCACAGCAAGCCGCGTCAGGCCTCCATCACCACCATGCACGGCATAATTTTCCAGCGTCTCACGGCACGCAGCCGCAGAGTTCTGTCGCGCATAGTTGCAGACAGAACGGAGCGTCACCACGCAAGCTGGATTATCTCGCAAGGCGTCCTTGAGAGTTGGGTCCCTTGCAAAAATGCCCCTCTCTGCCGCTGCCTCTTCTCGAGCAAGAATTTTGCTTGGCTCAACGAAGGTGGCCTTGTAACGGCACACGGCCGTCCTGCGGAAAATGGACGGCAGGTTCTCTTCCGTCACGCCGACAAACCTCCAGGAACGAGGAACCAGGGAAGAAACAACATATAAGAAGCTCAGAAGAAAGCCCAGGAGGCAAATAACAGTTACAGATGGAAAGCCGATTTGACGAGAAGCCTGGGATAAGCGTTCATCTCGAAACGCTTCCATCCACGCAGCTCCACGAGGGCTGTGTCGATGGCGTACGGAAGTCGTTCGGGCACCTTGTCCGCGGAGATGTGCTTTTTGTAGATGTCTTCCCGCATGGACTTGCGAGATCCTTGCACAGTCTCCTGCCCGGTGACGACAATCTTGCCGACGAGACGAGCGGCTTGCTTTCGCATTTCCTGCCAATCGTTCGACAGGGAGTATCGACTGCTGCGAACACATGCCACTGACGAAACCTCAAGACCTCTTCATCGTGAGATTAGGAGAACGTGCCTTGCCTCGTCGACGTAGTAGATATTCATGTCGAGACAGGCGTGGTAGTTGCCCAGTAAGGCTTCCAAGTGAGCAGTCTGTAGACTCTGCCCGACCCCTCCAGATCCTATTCCCCAGAACGCGCGGTCAACGTTCTCCCCATGCAAGGCCAAAGTCAAGGAAGCCATGCAGACTCGGAAGGCGTCGGCATTGTTCCAATATGTTGTCTTCCAGAATTTTTCGACCCTGTCCTTGATCTCTGACGAAACCGGATCCAGGATTCGATGCGGCAGGAGGACATAAAGATTGGTTTCAGGCGACTTCCGAGCCGCCACCAGACCGTCCGCTTTCTGGAAGATGAAGCAGCCATCTGTCGTGCAGAAGCCAGCTCGCCTGCGAACGTCCCTGGAGCACCACGCCACATAGTACTTTATGACAGTGTCGTTCAGCAGGGAGGTCTGCCTATGCACAAAGTTTCAGGGGAGACTTCGTGGATGAGCACACCGAAGGAGACTTGCTTCTACATTATGCCAAGACGCAGCTTCACGTAGAGCTTCCCGATTGTGTTGGCCATGGCCTGGGTCCACGAAGTGGCACCGCCGCCACGGCCTTCGCATGCCTCCTCGTCTTCCTCCTGGCCTGGCTTCTTGGCGCGCGTGGGAACTCTGCAGATGGCTGCGCGTAGACATTCTGCCAACAGAGCCGAGCAAGATTGGTTGTGTTGTTCCAGCAGCCGTTGGGCCTCTGCCAGGATGCTGTCAGTGCGCCGAAGAACCTGTGCTCCAAACATGGAGTACAGGCCTTCCAGATGCATTAAGAAACTCTTGCACCGGGCCAGGGTGCCTTGCGGGATAACACCATTGTACGCCGCCCAGTATCCATGCGCAGAGTAGAAAAAACACTGACCGTCATGAGCACGAACGTGGCGCCCGCACCCCTCAATGAGCTCCAGGAACAGCACTTCTTCTCTTCTGCTTATGTCCAGCAGACGAAGGTTTTGGACGGCCAAGGCACCTTGGACAATGTGCTGGAAGTCCGTCGTCCACGGTCCGCTCCCTGGGAAACTCTCAACGGCCAGGCGATTTCGTTGAACTTCCAGAAGAATGTCGCCGTCCTCTGTGGGTCCTAGCATCAGGTCGTCGATATCTATCCGCATGAAGTCCGAGACTGCCGTATCCACGTCAGACTGCTTCCCAGCAAGGTCAGTTCGCGCTCTCTTCGGCACAGGCGCTGCCGCAGGCGGCGTCTCGTCCAGCAGGCCAGCTTCGAGCTCCAGTTCCACTCTCCGCGAGAAGGACATGTCACTTTCCTGGCTTCCTGCCCGCAGATCATCCACTGGCTCCGCGGTCAAAAGCATTTGCGACTGCAAGTCGTCTCGTCGCCAAGACATGAGATGATCTATGCAGTCGAACAAAAGCGGAACTTCAATGACCAGAGCAGAGAAGCCGTTGTCTGGATGGAGACAGACGACACGCAGGTCCGTGACATTCACCTCGTAATATGTCCGGAGAATCCAAGCATATATGTTTAACTGAACCCGGTAGTGCCATAGGACGGTGTCCGGGAGAGCTTCCAGAGGATGCTGAAGGCAGCGGCCGAAACTAGCATCTTTCGAAGCCAGCTGCTTTGTTCTCTTCCAATCTAAGAGGCAGATGTCCGCGCCGCGCGCAGCAACGGCATCGATGGAGCCGGCTAGATCCTCCGCGTCTGCGTAGATGGTCCACTCTGTCCTCCTGAATATCCAGCCCTCTGCTTGGAACTCGCGAAGGAATTTGAGGAACATGCACATCTCGGGTGAGTTTGTCGGGACCTGGCCTCCATTGAGTAAGCACTCACATTTGGCATGCATCCAGGTTCCGGCGGCTGCCGCGACTCTGCGATTGCCCTCCCACTGCTGGAGAATGTCCGCATCTGTCAAGCTCGCCACGGTGGCAAGATATTCGTACCCTGGGTGAGTCCAGATCAGATCGCGCAGCCGCCTGCAGACAGCCTCCACATCAACCCGAGGCTCTGCCAAAAGGCGCAGCAGTTCGGATTCAGCCGGCCCGTCCGTCCGTAGAACGGCTCGTAGCTGCTGTACCATGTCAGATGCGACGTATTCCGGTCTGGGCCAGTTCCTGCCGCTGCGCATCGCGCGCAATGCTTCAGGTGCATGGAACCGTGCAGCCAAAGAATGAATCAGCCCCGTTACCGACGTAGAAACCCTGCGACCTTGCCAGGTGTACGAGTGATCCAGATCGCGAAACTGGAGGTGTGCGTCTCGGCCGTGTGGATGCAAGATTGCAAGAACATCCAGCACATCAATCCCTGCCAGTTTCTCCACATTGAGAGACTGCGGCGTTGCCACGCACACTGACCGTGGCCACCGACCTGTTCGCAAGCACTCTGGCAGACAAGTCTGCAAGCCGAAATCGATCAGACTATTCTGTCCAGCCATGCTTCGGCAGCTTCTGCTCACTGTGAAGAAACCGCCCGTCTCCAGACTGTTGATAGCTCGCGCAAGTCTTTGGAAGGCAACATCGTCCAGTTGCGTGCGAAGCTCCTCTCTTGCGCAGAAATCGTCTGTCTCGGCAGCGCACATCTGTTCTTCCACACTTTGTATTCGCTCGCACAGGAGGTCGAAGGCTGCTGCATCGCCTGAAAAACGTAAATATTGACGTCGAAGAGCGACCAGCCGACGTCCTTCTACCGCCGCTCTCCAGCCAGCCGGCTCTGGGAGCGAGGTCCCGGCCAAGCGATCCTCTAGAAAGGATTCTGGCATGCAGGAGAGGCACATGTCGCTGCCACTGAGGCCATGTTCTTGACAAAACCAGTGCTGGCAAGCCTGACAGCAGGCAAGGCTCGTCATCGGGCAGTAGGCGCATGTCGGATGACCGAAGGAGGCGCAGTATTGGAAAGGCAATAAATGTATTTGAAAATCAGTGCGTGTGCGCGCGGGAGATGCCACGCACATAGCCGCTGCACGGACCCACGGCTCCACATCCTGCTGCTGTGTCAGGGGCACTGTGCTGACGAGCTGGCCCTCAAAGAGGAATTCCAAAAACCCAGTTTGCCACCGGAACTCGAACTTGTGTGTGCTGGCTCGGGTCGAGGACATGAAACTGGGAATCGGAACTGGGACGCGCAGTCCATCGGACAATCGGAACTGTATTCCTCCTGCAGGATCTAGTGGCTTCCGCAGCACGACGCACGTGCTGTTGTCCGGTGTGCTCCCATGTTCGGCACGGCGCAGAGCCAGTACCAGGAACAAAGCTCCTGCAGGGACGGAGCACTCCAAGGCGACAGAGCCACAGGTCTGCCTCTCCGATCTCCAGTAGATAATTCTGTTGGAGGCTGGGACTTGGCGCGGTCCGACTACGCAGGGAAGGTATTCGCCTTTCCCCCGCAGAAATAATTTTCCGTCCAGCGCGGAGAGGTAGTGCAAGAAGTTGTGCGGACACGATAAACTTCTGATACCCCTCGACCACGCTCCAAGAAGATGCACAAAAAAACTCCTGCGTCGAAAAGGAACACTGAGATGGTCTGTCAAGTCCAGGTCCACTCCTTGCCAGAAATGGCTCTCTTGTATGGACTGTCGGAGGAAATGGTTGCACGACCCAACTGCCAGGAAATCTGCCAGGTCCTGCAGAAAAGAAGTTTGCAGATGAGCGCACGTACAGAAGTCGGGGCTCCCAGCACGCGCATCCTCTCGGCGGATGAGCGACTGGGTCCCGACCTCTGTGCGAAGAAAGCGGCTTCTGCTTCCACCTGACATCCCAGGCAACTGCATTGGACCGAAAGTGGACACTACCACCTCAGACCATTGCGGAATACTGCACTCTCCAAGAGAGACCGATCCAATCGTGTGGCCATCCAGCAAGACCTCTAGAGCCTGATTCCACCACTGCACCTGCAGTAATCTTTCCGGAGCTACGGATGGCACCCAAGCAAAGTGCGCGGCATTGGGTTCACCTCGGTGATTGTGACCCATCTCAATCGCCATTGTGTCTTCGAACGGGCGCAAGATGTGACACCAGCAGCGGTCCTGGGAGGCGTCGCTGTCTGCCGCCCTAGGGCTGCCGACGGAGATGACACACCGGTCGATCTCGTCCACGGCACAGAGCTCGAAGTACACAGGCGACACTGCCGCTTGCTTTGTCCGCCAAGAACGGTAAGAGGATCCACACAGATTCGTGCATGTGGCTCGGACCGGCCACTCTAATGCCAGCACGCGAGACGTGGCGACTGCGCTGCCAAGAGAGGACACGCCGCCAGTCAGCCACTTGGCCTGCAACACATCTGCGGGGAGTGCGCCAGCGTTGCGCCCGGACCACACGTCAGGCTGCGTGACTAGATCCCGAAAGTCTCTGCACACACGTTCCATTTGCGCCACGGACCGCAAGTCCCCGATGTTGCGGACGATCTCCTTACTCACCTGGCTGGGGACATCAGCGACACTGCCGCCGACGAGATCTCGCCCACCATCCTGCGCAGCATCAATGTCCTTCAAGGAAAACGTGTGCAAATTACACATATGCTCCACATAACTTCGGTATGAGAGAAGAAACCGCTCTGCAGGAATACTTTCTCGAACACAAAGTGTCTACACTTTCCGACATGCACGGGGTCCTGAATGATAAACAGTCCAGAGCACGCTACCGGGTCAATCAGCCACTGGCCGATATCCTCTGCGAAACCAATGGGCACACTCGTCTGCCAGCGGCACGCGCTTTGCCACTCGTGCGTCCGGCGCCCAAAGTTCACCTCTAGACAGCCATCATTCTTCCGCAGCGCGATGAAATGGTTGCCCACAGTCAATATGAACTCGCCGTTGAGCATGGCAGAGAGACGGCTCCAGGTCGTGCGGCTGACCATTTTCCTCATGCAAAGACATCACTAGTCTCCACTGGGCGGCCGCACATTCACATGCACCGGGTGCGGTCCAAGAGGCCCCTGCGCTTCCAGGAAGCGGTTTCCGTCCTGCATGGCCCAGAACGGGCCATCTGCCTCATAGTCAACCTTGTAGCCGTGGGCGCGTAGCACGTCCACGAGGCACACATCCGCATAGTTCCTCTCGGCCCCTTGCGGTGGACAGAATACAACGACTTTCACCCTTTACTTCTTGCGCCGCAGCACTGCATGCCGCTTAGGCACGATCCGGGAAGTCGTACTGATACGACTTCTTGTAGAAGAACATGCCTGCAGACTAGACTATGTTGAGCCTTCCAGAAAAAAACAGCCCAATCTTGCAATCCAAGATTCTGGAACGCTGCCTCATCCGATTGCAGCGCCGACTCCAGGCCTGTCTCGTGATCCGGGCCCACCGCGAAGTCGCCTGAGTCAGCCACACTCGCCACGTATTATCTTTTACTTCCTGTGAAGCCTGTCACGTAATAAGACCCTTGGTGCAGTCTCTGCCACTGTGGCGACAGGTCCACCGCGTGTGCGTGGCACATGGCGCAAGTAGATGCTCTTGGCCAAGAGGTCCCAGAGACTCCACCGGTGCCCTGTTCCGGGCACCTGCGTAGTGACGCCACACCAACCAAATTGCCTTGCCACTAACAAACCACGCCCGGCCTCTGCCTTGCAGAAGCCGTTGTGTCTCCCTAGACAAGCATGCTGTTTCTTTTGTACCACCATAGACAAGATGCTGCTCGCTATATCTTGCCCAGGAGCAAATCGTCGTCCTGGTGGCTGCCTGCGATTCCTCCATACTCTCCATCTCGAAAACGGTCCTCCGACTCGCTCCGCACCACTGTCCGAAATATTCCATGTCTGACTGCGCCCATACGCGGTTCCGCGTGTTTTAGATCAGCCACACGCGTACATCGACCTTTGACATCTACTTCAACAAATACGACATCTAGTCCACGCAACATTCTGAGGCAGCGGCTTCTCCTGGGCGGCAGTCGGCTCGAAGCACAGCAAGAATGACCTCCGTAGCTGTGAGACGACTTTTCCATGTCGCGATGCTGCAGCATCGTTGTGTGCGCTACCTGTCCGTCTTTCTTCTACTAGACAGGACACAGGAGTGCATCCGCGATGTCATCCGGGACGCGATCTGCATCTTCTTCCTTGTCGACACCGTTCCTGAACAGCAACCGCGACGGCGTATCCGACTTTATGCATGCGGGTTGCCGCTGTCTGTAAGGCCCTTCCCTTGCTGCGGTCTCAGACGGGAGGCAAACCTGCGCCGGCACGGTCGTCGGCCGGACTAGCGGCCTCCGACCTCGTGCACTGCTATACACAGAAAACATCTAATCGATAAAGCGTGCTGAGACTTCAGCTTCTCCTGGGTGGCGGTTGGCTCGAAGCAGAGCAAGAATGACCTCAGTCTATCTTTCCATCTCGCGACGTTGGCGCATCGTTAGTGTGTGCTGCCTGTCATTCTTGCTTGTAATGGACAAGATACAGAATTGCATCTGCAATATCCTCCGGAACGCGATCTGCATCGTCTGCCTCCTCCATCCCGTTCCTGAACAGCAACGACGACAGCAAACAAGAAGCTCTTTCCCACCATGAAGCACCCGCCCCTGGCTAAACATAGACATTACCCGGCTAACCTTTCTCTGACATGTCTTGCTGCTGACTCGCCACATCATTTCGCTTGCGACGACGGCGGCCGGACTGGCGGCCTCCGACCTTGCACGTGCATTGCCGCGAGAGACAGTCCGCAATGCGGCTACCACCGAGCGCTTTGCGTGCTCCTTAAAAACTCGTCCACGCAGACATGAGGGGACATTGCGTCCCCTTGCCTCGACTCGCTACAAAATTTTGAATTGCCACGCTAACACACAATGTCTCCTTCGTTAAATCGAGAATCGGCTTCATGCGTAGTGAGCCCGACTGCCTTACGCGCATCACAGTCTCTGCAACACTTGCGCCAACTCCTAGCCTACGCGCGTACCTTGAAACCTGGGAGGTCGAGCTTCGGTGGCTTCCCCTGCAAGCCGAGCTGCATCGACGGGATAACGCGCTCGAAGCCCGGGGCGACTTGGGACCTTGCAGACGGAAACCCCTCAAGATGACTGCGGTTCAACACTCGCATGGCACATCATAGCCTGGGTGTCCTACGCGGTCTTTTGCCATTGGCCATTACCGTTCAGCATCCCTGCAGAGCAAATTTACTCGACATACCGCTGCATCGTGACCCAGCTTCTACCTATATCTTTCTAGAGCTGTCTCCACCCACTCGCTGCTACTGCAGCGTCGAGCGGCAACAGGTCCGCTGCTTCTCCTTGGAGCCTCGTGGGCAAATGTGCAACTTCTGTACATTGGCATCGATTCTGCTTTCGAATGAAACTGATTCTGCACACACTTCCTCTTCCTACAACAGTCCTGCTGTCGGAGACGACGTCACAGGGAATCTCGTTGTCGCCCTACTGTGTCACAGTGCTGAGCACAATAACACACTCTTGCTCAAGGTTCCTCATCTGCACACACTCACACACACGCCAGCTCACAAGCATACTGATGGATTCGCCAGAGCCTCACGACCCGCCACCCCTGGTCGATGATGCCTCACTGAATCCCGATCACGTTGACTCACCTACATGTCTGTTTCCATCGAGAGCGTCTGCGGGACGCACGATACTCACCTGCGTCCTTCTCCACGATCGGCCCCAGCCTCTGCTTCTACGTGGGGCTGACACATGCCGCAACGCGTATGTCGCCATTGCGTCCTACCCATCTCCTGCCCAAGTAACTCGACGTCATCATCCGCGAACCACTGACACTTCGAGAAGCGCATCATGGTCCTGAGTGGGCTCCTTCCTTGCCTGAATCTTTGCCTTCGCCGCAAACGACCTTCCATCTCCTTGCAATCGCTACCTCTTGCTCTGCCTAGAGACTGCTGGGATTCGGAAAGCCTGAAGGCGATTAGATAGCACCTTGGCTTGCGTCAGCTCTCACACAGGCAGCTACTCACCGAGTTTGCTCAGCTAACAAACTGGTATGCAGCACAGCACCGCTAGTAAATTTCATGATATGTGCATGAAAGCTGCAACGCGGTTGCGATAAGTTTGAAGGCTCAAGCAAACTTGAGCCGTGACGAACGACGGAAGTTTTCTCTGGTGTTTCACAAGGCAGTCAAGGTTCTGCAGCACAGTGCTGCAACCGACGCATGTCGTGTTCCTGCGTCTCAACTTGTCTGCAACACACTGCGCCTCGGTCTTCTTCTTAGACGGCAGTGGGATGACCTGCTCCTGCAGACATGCTGCCGCTACTGGAGACAAAATGGATACATCAAAACACAGTCCCTTTCCCGACGGTGCAACGCCTCTCTAGACAACCCACGTCGTTGATGCTTAGTCTTCAATGATCCACAGACTGCACGTCTGGCCGGCCTCGTAGGAAGGTGCGCCTCCACCACAACCGCGATGCTCACGACCTCCGCGACACACAGCTTGCATAAAGGTAAGGGCTGATTCTCGTTTCAGGCCTTTCGCTTACTGTCGACACATGGACACGTGTGCACTTCCCCCGGCTCCCTTGATAAACACCATCCGAACAAAGACAAGTTTTACTCTATGCCTACCAAGGTTTCCTTTTCTCCCGCCCACACATCCGCAAGGAAATCAGATCCTGGCGGGCATAGCAAGGCAAGCCACCCGGCCGCTGGCAACAAACACATCATCCGAGCGTTCGGACTACGAAAGCCTCAGACCCGAAGACTGCTCAATACAGCATTCATTCTTCTGTCCCTGCTCCGCGCACTGACCACAACATGATGTTACCTGGCACTTGGCGGTAGTGCCCTCACTGCCTCTAGCCACGCCAGTATGCTACCTGTGCTCAGGAAGCACAACAAAGAAGGCCACGCGGACTACGTCCCTCTCTGGAACAAAAACCACAACATGACGCCACGCCACTACGGCGCCTGTGCCCTGGAAGCAAAGCATGCTTCTGCAAACGCATGATGAGAAAGGCTCATAACCGAAGATTACAGCTTGAACCCTTCCTCCTTCTGTCCCTGTTCCGTGCACTGACCACAGCATGATGTTACCTGACACTTGGCAGAGATGCCCTCAATGCCTCTAGCCACGCCAGTACGCTGCCAGTGCTCGGGAAGCACAACAAAGAAGGCCACGCGGACTACGTCCCTCTCTGGAACAAAAACCACAACATGACGCCACGCCACTACGGCGCCTGTGCCCTGAAAGCAAAGTATGCTTCTGCAAACGCATGATGAGAAAGGCTCATAACCGAAGATTACAGCTTGAGCCCTTCCTCCTTCTGTCCCTGTTCCGTGCACTGACCACAGCATGATGTTGCCTGACACTTGGCAGCGATGCCCTCAATGCCTCTAGCCACGCCAGTACGCTGCCAGTGCTCGGGAAGCACAACAAAGAAGGCCGCGCGGACTACGTCCCTCTCTGGAACAAAAACCACAACATGACGCCACGCCACTACGGCGCCTGTGCCCTGGAAGCAAAGCATGCTTCTGCAAACGCATGATGAGAAAGGCTCATAACCGAAGATTACAGCTTGTACCCTTCCTCCTTCTGTCCCTGTTCCGTGCACTGACCACAGCATGATGTTACCTGACACTTGGCAGAGATGCCCTCAATGCCTCTAGCCACGCCAGTACGCTGCCAGTGCTCGGGAAGCACAACAAAGAAGGCCGCGCGGACTACGTCCCTCTCTGGAACAAAAACCACAACATGACGCCACGCCACTACGGCGCCTTTGCACTGGAAGCAAAGCATGCTTTCTGTTCCGCCTGCAAACGCATGATGAGAGCAGACCCTGACAAGCACAGCAAGGCCAGCCGCCGGACCCTAGCTAGTTCTACATCATCCGAACGGTCGGATGATGATTGCTAAAGGCTCATATAACCG